ACTAGGAGTTTGGTGAAGGATGGCACGATATGTTTGAGGAAGATTGCCGGTTCAAAGAATCCGGCGGATATGCTCACTAAGGTGGTTTCTAGTGACAAATTGAGGTTGTGTAGGACCTCAATTGGACTCCATCATTAACTTGATGGAGTGTTGCGCTATGGTGAAAAATTGTTTTGATGAATGTGTTGAGTGCTCTTGAGGAAGGAGTGTATATATGGATGTCTATGGTGTATGCATTATTGATCCTATCTCCAAGTGGGAGATTGTTAGGATTAGTGTGGAGATGCATCAATATATGGAGGCATAAGGAAGAATTAAAGAGGAAGTTTTTTTTGAAGGAAGTTCGACCGAACATAGTTCAAGCAACTCTGAGGTTCGGTCGAACCTTGGGGCAGAGAGTTGAGGAAAAATTGCAAATTTGGAGGAGTGACCGAACCAAATGGGGTTCGACCGAACCACCTCAAGTTCGGCCGAACAGAGGGTAGGTTCGGCCGAACCCCCTGTTGTTCTGTTTTGACGGCTCAATTTCAGCCCGTGCTTCTTTTTTAATTGTTAGCCCTTGGATTGTCGTTTATTACCTAGACTATATATATTCTTTGTTTTGCTTCTTCCATAAGATTTTTTTTACAAAACTTTAAACACTAAGAGAGGGTTTATGAGAGGTTTTGTGAGGAGCATTGGAATTCCATACAATTCATGCTTGTAATCTTGATTCATTCATCATCAATACTACTCCATAGTGCAAGGTGGGTTTTTTCTCCCAGTTTCGGGTTTTCCCACGGTAACTTTGTCTCTCTTTTATTTGCTTTGATTTCTTCATGGTTGTTTTTAGTTGTTGTGCTTGCATGTTCTTCATTCTTGTGGGTTGATTGCAATTAGTTTGAGCCCTTAATCCTTTCATAAAGATATTCAATTGTATTACAATCATAATAAGTTAAGGGAGATTCAGTTAAAAAGAACACATTAGAAGTGTTACATTTTCGTCAAGTCATAACTCAAAATCTCCTTTGGTATAAATCTTAGCTTTTGTTTTACTGAAATAAGAAACTACTTTAAAAAACAAATGGCTAGTGTCTCTACACAAAATTTTCCAAGAATTTCCTATTAAAAAAAATTATTTATATCAACATTGATAATGCAATATACACTTTTATATATAACACTCCTAATTTTTCTTCAAAATAATTTGATAATCAGATATTGAGATCACCCAACAAAGTTCTTAAATAAATCCACAACGCCATTAATTACGCTGCACCAAGGATCCTACATAACTATTAATCTAACCCTAGGTCCATATTTTTGAGGGAGGGAGGGTTCCCTTATTTCACCAAGTTTGGGGCACAATGGCTATGATTAGAACATGTAATGGACCAAGACGACTTCACTTTATCCAACACGTCAGAACTTGATTCGTTTCTGATAGGCCACAAACGAATTTTATGTGGACGGTGCATAGGGTGCATTATAAAACATAAAATGGCTCAATATGAGACACAATAGGCAACCCATGGACCAATACAAACAATATCAACTAAATAAAAACTAATGCTTATTAATGTGGTTTGTTAGTCTATACAAATTTGATTTGAATAAAAACGAATTGTTTTTATTCCATAGCTTGTGTTCTTGGTATGGTCGACGTGACATGACCCCAACAACCGACTTGGCCCAGCATGACGCACAAGTCTTGTTTAAGAGGAACCATGCATGTATCAATAAGTCACCAAACTTAACCAAGGATATAAAACATTCAATGATATTATATGTTTATATCTTATATACAATGCAATCCATCACTTTTCAACCATTTATAAAAACTTTACATCCATTATAGTTAAATCAAACGAGACGAATTAAACTAAGTCAAATCACACTCTCAACAAAATTACAGCACTTTACGTTATTTCAGGTCGATAGCATACTACCATGATACTCAAACATTAATCGAATCTCATCTACATACATACATCAAGTCATCAATGCCCTCCCTATACCATTACTTATAAACCCCTCACCCAAAAAAAAGGTGAAGCTAAGATGAAGCTAATGAAGGTGTACCCCATCACATGGTAGGTTTACATAGAATTCTATAATTAAAATTAAAATAAAACTTCCACTCACAACAACACATGATATGATGCAAAAAAATGCTATAAATTGATAACTCTACGATTAATGGAAGTGGTTTGTGACGAAACATGGGATCGATTGATCTCATGCACTTTGATTTTTAATTTATAAATTTGATACCCACATTAATATTTCATGTGCTACGATATTGCCTTTGCCTGCATGTCCCAATTTTTATGGGGTTCCTTTAAAACACAGCAAAACATGCTCTGACTTTTTTCTTTTCTTTTCTTCTTTTTTTTTCTCCCAATTATTATTTTTCTTTTTATATTTTTATTTTTTGTGGGATAAAATTATAGTAGGGGTAAAATTGGATAGCATGCAAAACATACTCTGACTTAATGACTTGTATATGAATGAATTAATGCATGTTAATTATGAATGAAGCCTTTCTTTAGTTAAGCTAGGCTTGTCAACCTAAGCTAAATCATCATTAAGTTATCCATGTAGAGTTATATTATTAGTTGTAGGTTGAGGGAATGTACTAGGTTTTACTTTTGTTTCATTAGGGAATCAAAATTTGTTTGATTTATCTATTGTTAGATCCTTTATTTTCATATAATAAGATGTTAATTAAAATTACAAATTTATGACTACTTAAGAACAATTATCTCTCATATCTTAGTTGTATCATTACTTTGTAGCATGTAAAGATAGTACGTTAAGTTTTCATACCGAATTTACGGATTACTTGATGCTGGTAGATAGATAAAATAAATCATTCCTGAATTAATGTGTCTTTCAAACAGATTAACAAGTTAACATTTTATTATACATATGGCATTACATAACATACTACATATTCAAATGGTTTTCACTAAAGGAGGTTAGTTTTGTCTTTTGGAAATTACCTCATAAACATATATAATCTTCAAATTTATCATTTTGTTTGAAAATAATTTATTATAATCTAAATTTTTTATTTGCAAATCAATCATTTTACCAACACATACGAATGCATGAAATAATTGATACTCCGTAAGTGTAATATATGTGTGCTAACATACACTAAGAGGTTGTTTAGTTCACCTGATTTTAGCTGATCTGATATGATCTGATCTGAACTTATTTTTTCTGATCTGATCTGATCTGAACTTATTTTTTCCGATCTGATCTGATCTGAACTTATTTTTTTCTGATCTGATCTGATCTGAACTTATTTTATCTGATTTGACCTTATTTTAATTATTTCAATATTCTACTTTTAATGTTAATTAATATTAATGTTTAATTATTATTATTGTTATTATTATTATTATTATTATTATTATATTATTATTATTATATGATATTATTATTATTATTATATGATATTATTATTATTATTATTATTATATTATATTATATTGTATTATATTATTATTATATTATATTATATTATATTATATTATTATTACTATTATATTATTGCTTGCAGACCAAGGTTAAGGCTACTACATGCCTATCCTGATTTATGCAAAGAACAATTGAGATTAGATAGAAACATATTTGTGGATCTTGTTACTTGCATGAAAAATAAAAATTTATTATCGGATGGTCGTTACATATCCGTGGTTGAGCAATTAGGAATATTTTTATATATCATGGCTAAAGGCAGTTCTTATCGTGATGCTGCCGATCGATTTCAGCACTCTATTGCAACAATTGGGTTGTACTTTAAACAAGTACTGGAAGCAATGGTTCATTTGTCTACCGAGATCATAAGACCATACCAAAGTTTGACCGTGGTGCCAACAAAAAATAGGTGACAACACAAAATATTGGCCATATTTCAAGGTATTAAGAAATATTATTATTATCTTGCATTGTCATTATATTATTTTATGCATATGCAATATATAATCACTTATAAAATGTATCCTAAATGTTAATGAACTATTAGGATTGTGTTGGAGCATTGGATGAGACTCATATAAATGCAGTTGTAAGCGATGATGATGGTGTGGCACACCGAGGGCATAAAGGAAAAAAACATGGAATGTTTTGGCTCCTTGTTCCTTTGATAGGCTTTTCACGTTTATCAACGTTGGATTTGAAGGTAGTGCTCATGATATTACTGTATGGAACCATTGCTTAACTGTACCAGAATTTCGATTTCCCCATCCACCTCCAGGTATAATTTAAAATAGTGTATGTTTTTACTCCATACATGACACTATACTAATATGCTGTATAATTTTATTTTGTAACAGGAAAATATTATCTAGTAGATTCTGGATATCCGAATACCGTTGGATATTTGAGTCCAATAAAAGAAAAAGATATTAGAACCCATTTGCCTGAATTTCGAAATGGTCCACCACCACAAGGCATGCTTGAACTTTTTAATTATCTTCACTCTTCACTTCGAACAACGATCGAGAGATGTTTTGGACAATTAAAAGGTCGATGGAAAATATTGACAATGATGCCACAAATGGACACTAAACATCAATTGGCAATTATGGTTGCTACATTCACACTTCACAATTTTATTCGATTACATGAGTTGGATATACCCATTGATAGTGGTATAGAAATCGAACCAAGAGCAGATTATGATTTGTTTAACGAGAATCGTAAAGTTGTAATGAAAGAAGTACAACTTAATATAGCGAAGGAAATTTGGAACGTCTTGAAATGAAAATTATATTTGTAAACGTTTATGATTTGGAGCTTATAATGAAATTTTAATTATTATCGTTTATTGTTTGTGCTATTTAATAACATAGACAATGTTGCTAGTTCAAACAAACGATAAAATCAAATCCGATACATCATAAATCAATAATAATAATAATAATAATAATAATAATAATTTGATCTGAACTTATTTTTTCTGATCTGATCTGATCTGAACTTATTTTTTCTGATCTGATCTGATCTGAACTTATTTTTTCTGATCTGATCTGATCTGAACTTATTTTTTCTGAAATAAGTAAAAATAAGGTGAACTAAACAGGGCCTAAGTCGGCAATAATTTCTACTGGTGATTTGAATTCCTTCACCTCCGATCCAATTTGATCTAATAATATATGTTCCCAAAAATTGGAAATCTTATACATAATTCCCAAAGAACTTCAATCATGGGTAGACCTTTATATAAGATCCATTCCATTTTATCTCATACCAATCATATAATTCAGTGTCTTTTCTCCCCTCCTGTCTACTTATCATAAATAAAAAGAAAAATAGTTAACGTAAAAAAAAAAAAAAAAAAAAAAAAAAAAAAAAAAAAAAAAAGTAATGGCAGGTTCAAGTTGAACATATATAGCAAGATATTTCCTAGATCTATGCTGAAAAATAATAATTACGAGTACATATTATTGTGAATAAAAATACTAGTAGCAAACAACTCTTACAACGTATAACAAGTCACATCCACTACTTAGAATTCTGATCTTCTGAAAAATTTATTTAACGTCATTTTTCTCTCTCCTCTAAAAATACACCTCCTCTTCTCTCTCTGCTTCGCTGCACACAACACATCCTTTTCCACGCCAAAATTTTCAATCACATGCAAAAGTCAGACACTACTCCTATCATCATCATCCCTCTTATTCACCACCCCCCTTCCAATTCCTTTGCTTATTAGACTTCACTTTTCTCTTCTTCTCTACCCCCTTTCGTTTTTGTCAAATACGAGTCTGGGTCGCACCTGTCCTCAGCTGCGACTCCTCTAATAAAAATGAGAGAAATGGCATTTCTCTCTCAGGATTACATGATGTACCAACCGCATCATAATCATCATCATGAATTCAATAACGAAGATGATGATCGACATCATGATCCTTCGATTTCGCTTAACATCCTTTCTACTTGTCCTCCTCATCAGGAATTCCAAGGTCCATCTCCTCTTTTTTTTTTTTTTTTTATAAACATTGGATTCGTTAGTTGTTCAAAATTCATTGTCGACTCCCTACTTTTTTGTACTGTCGTACATGACAGTATTCATAATAATAAGTGTGGTATACTTTTTATGTGGGTTGTCAGATGGATAATTTTTGTTCAGAACTGCACCTACATATGATCTACAGTATCAAATACTGTAGTAGTGACAACAACCAATCTTGGACAATGATAGCGGTATGAATCCGCTATTAGCCAAGATTGATTGTCGTACTTATATTCATATCGTACGGTGCAGTTCTATTTGAGTATTAGTAGGATACTACGGAGTATGCTACTAATACTCATTTAAATCATTTACGAACTATAAAATCAACAACAATAATTTCTACCCAAGAGTAATATAACTAGTTAGCCATAATTCTGATTATATATAAATACTGCAGGTGCTCCTGGAGTTCCATCCTTAGCCATGATGAACAGATCGATGTCGTTTTCCGGCTACCATCTACATCAAATAGACCATACTCAACACCAAGACGATGTAGTCGGAGGAGGCGGTCACGAAGAGCACGAACACGATCATCACGGCGGCGGGGGAGATCAAGACGAGATGTCGGACGACGGGTCGCAAGTGGTGGTGGTAGGGCCAGGAGGAGGGGAAAAGAAGAAGAGGCTAAACATGGAGCAAGTGAAAACATTGGAAAAGAATTTTGAACAAGCTAATAAACTTGAGCCTGAGAGAAAAGTGCAGCTTGCTAAGGCTTTGGGATTGCAGCCTAGACAAGTAGCAATTTGGTTCCAAAATAGAAGGGCAAGATGGAAGACAAAGCAACTTGAGAAAGATTATAGCGTGTTGAAGAGACAATTTGATTCTCTTAAGGCTGATAATGATTCACTCCTTTCTCAAAACAAGAAGTTACATGCTGAGGTAAAACATAATTCTAACTCTCGGTTCAAAATTCAGTTCGCTGTCATGTCATTAGTTTAAATTACATACTCTGCTTTATTAGTAACATGATACTAACTCGACTTGAAATTTAATTAGCGGTTATATCAATAGTTTAAATTACACTGCTATAATTTGAAAATAAGTATTTGGATTTAATTTTATAATTACTCTAATTTGTTAATACGAAATTTTAAATTAGGTCAACTCGGTTTATGATTTGAATCATATGTATATGTGCAAATAAAAATGAAATATAAAATTTTGCAATTATTTTAGAAAAGATGTATATGAAAAAGATTATAGTATGAAGACCTAAGATTTTCTCTTTGTTGTAGATGGTGTGTGACGGTTTTAATTAATTAATATAATAAGCTTGCATGATTAAACTTCCATGTGCGTTCAACATGGCCAGAAAACCAAACCTAATAATATTAGTGTATTTTTATAATTAAATATCACAAAATCCAAATATCAAAAGTATCTTACTCGAGTGGAAGGATTTAAAGTTAAAATGCGCCGCCACCAATCGAATATAATATCATAAGTTTTAGAAACTAAAGAATAGAATATACTGTAACAACTTTTTTTTTTTTTTCTTTTTTTGGTGTGAAGACAAGTACAGTAAATAATTACAGTATGATACCCGTACAAAAAAATAAATAAATTACAGTATAATAGGTTTTGCATATTACAAATGTACAATTAACATTGTAAAATTCTTGTATTATATATAGTGTTTTATAATGGCAAAAAATTCAGACAATTAATCTGATCAATGGTTAAAGTATTATAATTCAGTTATATATGGAAACATTTTTCATGTATTATATTCCTTTTTTGATAATCATTTCCTGTTATAGTAACATTGTTATGAGGAATAATGTTGCCTGTCTAGTCTTTAGATAGAAAACAAAAGTATTTGTATATGTTGTCTAGTAGTACTAAAATTAAATGATTGTGTTAGTATGATTTTTCCAATTTTTTTTTTTTTTTAGTTTAAATGCGAAGTACTTCTTCCGTGCTCAGAGAATGATTATGTATATATTATCCATACCGTAGGAGATGAGTCGTAGCTAATATAAAAGATAAGTTTTATTTTGAAACAAGAATACTACTTTAATTCATCATCACTAATTAGAAGCAAGAGTCGTCTTTAAGGAAAATTTATTTAAAATCATATACTACGTATATGTTTGCATCTATAGCTTACCAATGTAATATTTCGTATCTTTAACACGTAAAATATAAAAATTCAAAACTGATAACATAATAAATTTAGAAAGTGGCTAATATTTTAGACAGCCTAAAATAGAAATGTTATTCATTTATTCCGTAATTAGGGTTATAGGAGTAAATATTGTTCAAAAGGACTTGATTTAATTTGGTTCAATTATATTTTAACAGAAAATACCCTAGATTACTAATAATTATTGACAATTTGTATTTTGTTAATATTTCATGCAGTTAATAACACTAAGAAACAGAGAACCAGCAGATTATGGAGCAATAAACCTAAACAATGCAGACACAAAGAGCTACTGGAGCAACAATGGTAGTGAGATAAGCTCAGACATGAACCTAAACAACGCCTCAAGAACCGTTACGCCTAGAACCGGAAGTTCGTTATCCACAAACCCATCTACAAAACTTCAATTCCCTCCAAATTCCTTCATGCCAACAAGTATAACCCAATTCTTACAAACCTCTTCTCCTAAGCCAGAATTGGACCTTCAATGTCCCAAAATTGACCCACAACTTCATGATGATACCTTTTGCACCATCTACGGTGTCGGTAACGGTGGTGGTGGTGGTGGTGGTGGCAATGGCGGTATCGAGAATCAACCACCGGCCTTTTGGGCTTGGCCAGAACAACAACAAAATCTTAATTAATTAAGCCAAAGCCAAGACAATGCAAGGAGGGCATGCAAAACAATGCAAGCAATTTAAGCAAAATTTCTTTATTATATATAATAAAGTCTTATTATTGCTAATGCTAAGCTAGATTTTCTAATATATTACGTAAAAGAAAAAGAAAAAAAAAATTCTAGCCTTCCAAGTTAAACGTTAAATTCTTGGCCCTGCAATTCTAGCTTTTATTATATATGTGTAATTAGAATTTTTTTTTAAAATTTATATATGTGATATTATTTTTTATGTTATGGTATGTTCTTTGTTGCTTTTTGATAATTGTTGTATAGTACATTATTAGTACGTCGCGTATTTTGTAGTAAATCCCACTCTTTCTTTTAACCTTACAAGGTTTACTAATAAAAAGTTTCATTTTGCTATGATATTTGAAAATTTGCATAGTATAGTTACCTAAATAATATTGCATCTTTGTTGTCTCGTCATCTCGTCTTATATTTTCATAATTATTATCAATAACGATTATTATTTGATAGAATAATCATGGAACTCCAATCATCGGTAGAGTTTGTTATATACACCCGAATGTACCGTACACTTGGGAGAAATGAGAAAAAATTAATGAGCAAATAATCCTAAGTGTATGGTACACCCGAGTGTACAGAATTGACTCTCAATTAGCAGTGAATTTAATATTATTGTATCACTCTTTGTCAATGAAATAAAGTTAAATTAATTATTACTACTTGGGTTGTTACTCATTTTGTTAACGGACTTATTATCAAATTGGACGTCCAATGACTTAAAAGTGTAAACGTTACTAGTATCTCTGATATTGCTTGTTTTTTAAAGTTCATTCGGAGCATTTTTTTGTTTCTAGATGAGTTGGTGATTGTAGGAAAATGAGTGTAAAGTTAACGAAATAGAATAAATTTTAAGAGATGACGAGTGTAAGAAAAAAGTTGATGAAGTAAGAAAAAGAGAGTGAAAATGCATTAATATTATGATATAAGATGAATTAGATGATAAAAAGTTGATTACCTCAAATAGAAAAACTAGAAGTGCGTTGATCACTGAAAAACAGAAACACTCCAATGAAAACAAGTTGAGCAACATAAAATGATCGAAAAAAGGGGAGGGCTTTTATTTAAAAAATATTCTTACAAATTACAACCAACCTACTTCTTACGCAGTTTTTTACAAAAGGATTAAGGAAAAAAAACAACTCTACTTCTAATTTATAACCTTGCAAGTATATGAATACAAATAAAAAAGAGTACAAGTATATAGTTTACAAGCTTACCTTTCCATGCACGAAAATCAATTTTAAGTTTTGGATATACTTTATCAAATAAGAATTGAGTCACTCTTTAATTTTATGTTTTTTCATATAAATGTCTAATCTAATACGGAATATACTGTGTACAGTACTGTATATCTTTTAATTGACATTAGTAAATCTAGTTTTGTCAATCAAAAGGTAACTACTACAAAATTACACATTAAATATGAGCCGACAAGCTAAGGTTTTACATGCATGATCGATAATGTCTTATTATAGAGGATCTTTTATCAAAATGACTAATTTGACAAAAGTATTTATCAAAACGGCTAATTATAAATTTTAATTCCAAACTAGCTAAATTTATTTATTTGAAGTGATATTATTTATTATTTTGTATTCCTTTGAACCATTCAGTTCATTTTATGTTTTTTTTTGTTTTTATTTAAAAAGAATTTTATTTTTTTTTGGTTTTATTTAAATTCTAATGCCATAATTTAAAATATCTCATTAATTTGAACACAGAACAATAACAACCCAACATAATATATATGCAGCAATTCTCAATTTTTAAAAAAGTTACACAACATAAACAATCACTCAAAAAAATGATCCAAACTTCCAATCAACCAAAAAAAATAAAATACAACTATTTTTCTTAACACTTAAAAATAGAAATAAATATATGTAAGTTTGATTTATCATACACATTAAACAAAATAAAATAGTCCTACTAGCCGACATTAACAAAGAGTATACAATTAATAGACATGAAAAAGATGAACAATACCTTAAAATCTCTTATCATCGTATAAATTTGCGGTAGACTTGATAGAACAATACTACTTGAAATTCCAAATTTTTGAGATTGATATTATCAAGACGAAAAATTAGTGCTTATAACTGGTTTTTTTTTTTTTTTATCGAAATTAGGGTTATGCGAGTCTGCGACTGTTTACGTTCATCATAGTTTTGTATATTGCTTAAATTTTCCAACTTACAAAAATTTTAAGTAAATAAAAATAAAACAAAACAACAAAAAAAAAGTGAACCAAATCGGATCAAAGGAAATAAGAAATACTAGTAAATAAATTCCTTTTAAATTAATAAATTAGCTAGTTTGGGAATTAAAATTTATAATTAGCCGTTTTGGTAAATACTTTTGTCAAACTAGTTGTTTTGGTAAAAGATTCTATTATAGATATATAAACTATTAAAGTGGTAAAATATTTTAAATTAAATTAAAAATCAGTAAATGAGAAGATAAATAAGGATCAAAGGAAGTAAAGTGAATAATCCAACAAAACAAACAATAACATTGAGAAATTGCACTGTTTAAGCTGAAAGTTAAAGTTTGATATAAATAAAATCAACACTTTTTGTGTACTAAAATCACATATAATTATGGACAATGGTATTAATTAAAATCCATAGATAAACCTTCTCATTCATTGGTAGAGTTTAAATAAAAATACTTAATGTCAACGACTTTAAATCATAAGGTCTCTTTTTAATTAACCAATTTTTGTAAGCAATTTTTTTACAAAAATTTTAAAAAGAGAGAAAAAAGAAATTAAAAATGGAGAAAAAAAAAGGCAGATCTGTCAGCAGGTGGGATCCAGCTCTGGCATGTGGAATGGGGGCATGAAATTGAAAAAGATTCTCTGAGTTACGTTCTTTTTTCATAAAATATTAGAGTTGTCAGTTTCTGACCCGAATCGTTAAATCTGACTGTTTCGAACCGATCCGAAAAGGAACTGAACTGTTTAAAACCCGTGTTTTGGAAATCGAAAACTAACCCGACCCAATTTTTTCCAAACCGAAACTGAACTAAACCGAATTTGTGCAAACCGTTACTAACCCGACCCGTTATCAAGCCAAACCGTTACAACCCGAAACTGAAAGCAACCCAAACCGATTACGTTTAAACCCGATAGTAACCCGACCCGTTTTAAACCGAAAACTGTTAAAACCCGATAAAAATCCGATAAACCTAAATCGTTCCAACCCGTAACCCGTTGTGACCGAACCGGTTATAATCCGTAACCCGTTGTGACCGAACCGTTTACGACCCGTAGCCCGTTATGACCAAACCGTTTAAACCCCGTAACCCGTTATGACTGAGTCATTTACAACCTGTTACCCAATATGTTTATGATCTAATCTGTTTCAACCCACTACTCGATAAACCCAACTTATTTATGACTTGACTTGATTATAACATGACTCGTTCCTACCCATTATCTGACTAATTCGACTCGATAATCATCCGACTCAATTTTAACCCGATATGATTTTGATTAGAAACCCGTTTCAAATTAGGTAAACTCGTTTTCAAACCAACCAAGTTCAATCTAAACCGATTATAACCGAAACAATAATGGTTGGACCCGATTTCACCCGATCTATTATGAACCGAAACCCATTTTCGAACCGACCCAGTTAAACCCAAACTGATTATGACCCGAACCAATTACGACCCGTCCTGATTAAGACCCGAACTGTTTTTAACCGAAACCCACATTAAATGGGCTAAACCCGTTTTCAAATCGACCCAATTCAACCCAAATTGATTATGACCCGAACCGACTAGAACCCGACCTGATAAGGACCCGATCCGAATAGAAACTGCAATTAAAAAAACCAAACCGAACTGGCCCGATAATTTTCAAAACCGACCTAAACCGACCCGTTTATTATTTCAATCCGTTATAAACCGACCCGTTATAACCCGAAACTGATAAACCCAACCCAAACCCGAACTGTTTAACCGAATTGACACCCCTATAAAATATAAAATAATATTAATTCTTGTTACAGTGTTACATAATAAATGTAATACGAAGTACGTAGTAAGATGCCATGTACTTGCAACCTTATTGTAAAAATTAAGATGATTTGATTAAAAGTTCTTTGATTGAGAGAAAGTTCTTTTGCAGGAAGAATTGAAGGTGGGCAGAGTTTTAAAGAGACCTGCCTAGTTGGCGTTGATGATGTAATTAATTTGTGCCAAACATATTCTGTGGCCACTTGAATTTTCATACTCTATTCTATCCGTTTTTTTTTTAAAAGTGTTACACTAATCCATACATAAAATATACCTTGTATTGAATCAACCACTCGTTTTTTCGAAATTAAAAATTACCACCATTAATGTCAAAACCGTAGATTTCACCACCCTTCTCCAATTCCGGCCAGTTTCCCGACTTAGGGGCACAAAAAATATAAAATCAAAATTAAATTTTTTGAAAAAAAAAAACAAACCCACCACTGCCACTTTCGATAGGCGGTAGCTCTGCAACCTCCGGCACCCCGTCCCCTTCTCCGTTTTCGGCACCCCTACCTTCCCCGTCCCTGTTTCTAGCAATCCTTTCCCTTCCCCAGTAAAATTGAACCAACAAATTAAAACCCTAAAAGCAGAAATTAAAGTAAATTAAAAAAAAAAACGAATAACGCAACCTTGAATTGAGCAGAGGAAACGGCGACATCGGTGGGTTTTCGTGAGGAATCAGCGACGTCAATGGTTTTTCGTGAAGAAGCGGCGATGTGGGTGGAGTTTCGTGAGGAGGCGGCAATATGGGCGGGGTTTCGTGAGGAAGCGACGACCGGGGATTTCGTGGACATGGCTGGGGTTTTGTGGGGTTTCCCCGGCAGGAGTAGTGGCTGGTTGGGGCGGTGGGTGGTCGGCAGGTGGTTGATTTAATTTGGATGGGTGGTAGGAGATGGAAGGAGGAAGTGGCTGCCATGGGCTTAGGGTTATGGGGAATTTTAATTTTTTAATTTTTTTTTAACCTATCATATGGTGACATGTATACACTAAGTTGGATAGTTGATCGAAATTAGAAAAGGGTGGTGAAATCTGCTGGTTTTGACATTTATGGGTGGTATTTTTTAATTTCGAAAACAAGGGTGCTTAATTCAATACCTGATACATTTTGGGGTGTGTAGGGAATAAATTCAAGCCTTAATCCCACTAGCTTGAACCCCACTGTGACCATACACTAAAGTACGGTGGCGTCCAAAAGGGAAAAAGATAGAGCAAAAGAGTCGCCAACAAGTTTTTAAGGAACTTGTAAACCGTTCACGAGGTGAAGGTTACACCCCTTAACGAT